CCATCTATCCATCCATCCATCCATCCATCCATCTACCCATCCATCTATCCATCTATCCATCCTTCCATCCATCCATCCTTCCATCCATCCTTCCTTCCATCCATCCATCCATCCATCCACCCATCCACCCATCTATCCATCCATCCATCTACCCATCCATCCATCTATCCATCCATCCACCATTTATGCCTGACAGGTCATACATGACACCCCATTCTTCAGCTACCTGTACAGCACCCCTCATCCTACGCCCAAGCTCCCTGCTTTGCAAACACTAACATACACACATACCACCTGGGAAACCTGGTTTAAATGCAGGTTCTGATTCAGAAGATCTGGGATAGGGCCTTGAGGGTCTGCACTTTCAAAAAGCCCAGATGCTGCCAGTGCTCCTAGTTCTCGGACCATACTTTGAATCCCAGCTTCAGCCGTGCTCCCCAAACTCCTGGCATCTGTCCATCTGTATGTATCCTTCTCCCCTGGCCAAGAGTTCTCCTTCTCGTCCTTCTACTAAAAACCAGCCTTGTTGGGCCACCAGTGCACCAGGCGCAGCCCTGAGCATCCACCCCAGGCATCATTTCAGTGCATCCTTCTAGCCCGGTAAGTTAGGGTTAGGTCTGAGAACACGTCCTCATTAGCAATTCTTACCCCGACATAGGCCTCAGAGGGACCTCCAGTGAATCCTTTAAGAAGACAATACTCATTCGTTATTACACCAACCTTACAGATGAGCAAACAGAGACGTAGAGAAGTTATTAGCTTCAGACTGCCCAATCTTTAAGCGGGGGCTGGTGGGGGACACTGGTTTTGACTCAACAGGCTGTCCTCAGATCACATCATTATCCTACCTGGTCCTCCAGACCAAAGCCAAGTGCTTCCCCTTCCTCCCGACGCCTTCCCAGACCCTCAGCTGCCAAAACCTCTCCCTCCCCTTTTGAAACTTTGTTTTTCCTGTTGTCTTATTCTGCAGAGTTTTGCTTGGCCCGTAGGATTCTGCACAGCAGCCTGTGACCTCCTAGTCGTGTTCCTCTTGGACCGGCCAAGCATACTGCAGCACCCTGAACTTGATTGCTACTCAACAAATATTTGTGAAATGGAGTTTTCTAAAGTTGTTTATTTCCCTTCTTCTATATTTCCTCTGTTTTTCCTCGGCCCCTCAATAATTACTTTTTTTTTTTATCTGTAAATGCCAAGCTTGCATCACTTAAAAGGAAAAGAGGTTTTCCTTTCTTTAAACCTTTTTCTTCCTGAATCCAAAGTAATATATATTCATTTGAGGAAAGTCAGGAAATAACAACAAACACACATAAAAAGCTACCTTGGATTCTTTTGTCCCCAGGGTTTCTCAACCTCAGCACTACTGACATTTGGGGCTGACTCACTCTTTGTTGTGGGAGGTTGTCCTGTGCGTTTGCAGGATATTTATCAGTATCCCTGGACTCCACATACTAAATTCTATTAACACGCCCCACTCCCAGCGGTGACTGACAGCCAAAGATGTCTCCAGACTCTGCTGCGTGTCCCCTGGGAGGCAAAACTCCCCCCCCCCAGCTGAGGATCAGGGCTCTGCCCCCAGTGGGAGTCCCGTTTGGCGTGTTGGCTTGTCTCTTACCAGTCTGGAAAAGGAATTTTCTGGACTTTGATCGGAAGAGGTGGGGACGAGGACGCAGCCGACCTAAGGGGGATGATATCAATGGGGACAGAGCCAGCAAAGAGTCCCAGGCGCCAGGCTGACGTCGTGAGGGCAGCAGAGGCTGGTGATTCTCCTCAAGAACCTCCTCTTTGGGGCCAAAGCAAACCGTGGGTGAAATCTTTTTCCTTCTTCAAAAATATCTTCAGAACCCGGGCGCCTGGGTGGCTCAGGCGGTTAAGCGTCTGACCTCAGCTCGGGTCACGATCTCAGGGTTTGTGGGTTCGAGGCCAGCATCGGGCTCTGTGCGGACAGCTCGGGGCCCGGAGCCCGCTTCGGATTCTGTGTCTCCCTCTCTGTCTCTGCCCCTCCCCCGCTCGTGCTCTGTCTCTCTTTCTCTCTCAAAAATAAATGAACATTAAGATAGAATAAAAAATGTCTTCGGAACCATTTTACCAAAGGCCACAGAAAAGTCAGCATCACGACACCACCATTTTCGTGACTTTTGGGCAAAAACAGTATTGCCCAACATCCAAACCAAACTTGCCTCCAAATCACTTTTAGCAATTTCCAGTGAAATGAAGTCACCTACAAAGGGTGAGGCTCTGCCCCCAGTAGGGTGACTCAGAAGAATACACACACACACACACACAGCAAAGGCAGGTCC